TCGGTAACATTCTGAGAACTCTTAAATTTCTCTCCATGACTCTAACGTGCGACGATCACAGTCGTTTAGTTTGAGGTATGTCTATAGTCCTAATGTGCATAAAAATGGCCGCTTTACAGTCGATTTTACACAAATTTTGCCAAATTTTTTGGAAATTGGTTGCTAAGTTGCAAGGTTTACAACAATGAATTTTCGATAGTGGCAACAAAAGTCATATTAATTTCCAAAATTCATATTAATTTTTAAACTTCAAAACAATCTTGTATGCTTTGTCCATGTACACTCAAAAATACGAGTACCTTCCACATTTACATTCAATCACCACAGAGTTATACTAAATATGAAAGTCGCAGGTTTCAATATCAAGCGTTTTGATAGCAGTAAAGATCTCATGTTTAGACGTTATGATTGTGTGTCTTTTGCATTTTATGTGTAAGAAGGAAAATTGTTTAAGATCAATAACTTGGAAACACATTTACATGAATTACAATCGTGGCTTTCCAGTGATTTAAAGCAAAATTTCTCTTTCACGCAAATATATCAAAAATTAAAAAATCAGCTGAGCAAAACCTTAATGATATGAGAATATTTTCAAGCGACGCACGATTTACTAAAGTTAATCATCCTTTGTAATAAAGGTCGATCTCTGAAAATAAAAAAATTGTAGACGTCATCTCTTCGAAAAGCGTACGTTATATTTTATTTTGACCGAGAAAACACATCATATGTATAATGTTTGTAAATATTGTTACTACACACAATGTGTTCTACAATGTGTAGAAGCAACGCACGCTGTGCATGAAATCTCAGTAACATAGATAATCTCAGACCACCACACCGGTACTGTGTGAACAACACATGATTTCTATAATGTATAGACTGCTTAACTTACACAAGGAACTTCAAACAATTTCTTCAATATTTTAGAAAATTTCAATAGTGATTTAATTAATTAAATCAAGCACACAGTTTATATGATTACTTGCTTTCATTTTTCACATATTTTGGTGAAAGAAACTTGCCTGTGGTGGATCCAGACTACGTCAAAATAAATAACTGCAGCACGTTTTGGCGTATATTTACATTTCTAAACGCCTTAGAGGCTAATCCATTGGTAAAATTATATTCTTTAGAAACTAATTTAGTGTTTTTCTGAATGTAATTTGAATTAAAAACTGAGTAACTATAACTTATTTTGACGTACACTGGATCCGCCACTGAAACTCGCAATAACAACCAGGGGCTTGGGAAGCCGTATGTGTCTTGGTGTCCGTACACCTGCAACTTTTGGAGAGGGTGTTTTTACAGAAAGAACATTGATTTTGCTTTTTGTTTGCTAGTTTGTACTATCTTATTTACCAAATTTTCAAATTAATGAACGAGCACCAGGATCGAACAAATTTTAATCGGTGTGTAAACATGCGAAACTAACCATATGCGTTCACTTTTGCTTTTATTCTGCTACGTCATTTAAACATTCTAACAGTGGCGTAGGAAGCACGTTAAGTTGCGGGAGGAGGCGTAAGCTTCTAGGGCATTTGTCTAGTGAAAAGGGCAGTTTTAACAAATTCTTTTGCGGTTTTCTAATGGCAAATCAAATCCCTTATTTGTTTGGGAACATCGGGCAAAAGGTTATTTTATTGCTTTTCCATATACTTGTGATTATAATATAAAGTAACTATTGGGAAATCTTTCAGCAGATGCAGTAGATAATTAAAGGAAGCAACATTTATAAATATGCAGCAACAAATGCACAAGGTAAGAAAGCAAATCAATTTCTTTCAGGTCCAACCGTGCGGGGAAGCAAAATTTCCGTGATCCTAAAGACACCATTCAGCAATTCTTTAACGTGTGATATTCTTCATTGAAAAATAAAGTTCTGTCCAATGATTTTTTTATAGATGATGTTTCGTGTCATAGCAATAAAGAGTGTCACTACTCTTACTAGAATTCCTTTACCTCAAGCAAATTACCCGACTTAATCAATCTAAAACAACTTTATACCACCACAGAACTACCCACAAGTCACAATAGAAACAACTCCAAATTCAGAATCTCGTTTACTTGGCATTCTTTATACAAAAAATCTTCCATTTACAGCAAAATGAAATTTTCACTCATCATATCATACAATACAACTTGATCCCAATGCCTTACATTCCACCCTTAATGGTGTTTGTGCCCACAACAACCGTTCTTTCTTATTGTGGAACGAAGTATTGTCTTCTTTACAAAAGCGCACCCAGACAGATTTGCTTAATTCAACTTAATTTTAATGATAGCAGTAAGATTGATTTGACCTTTCGTTAATTTGTTTCATCCTTTAAGAGGGAAGCAGTCGTTTTCAGGTTGCATTTGCGTGATAGGGCAGGCGAAATGTTGGTGTTTCGTTTTTGTTCTTACTCCCTCTTGTTCAGGGCGTTGCTTGTTCTTATTTGGCACGTTTGTTTCTTTCTCAACATTGAGTACTGAAATCTTCATCTTAAAATGATCGAATTCCCGGAAAGTGCGAGAGAAAAGGGTTCTTGTCATGGATAGACGGTATAAGCAAGTAGGGTAAAGAACGCATTTTCTCAGGAAGGTACGTTCAGCAAAGCAAGTGGTGGAATCCTGAATGGAATCAGAGATTCGATGGAATGTGGAAGCACATCCTACATCTCAGATTACGAATCCTTTTTCTTATCCAGATGACAGCAACGAGCCAAATCTCAGCAAACTTCCTCAAGACAAACGGAAACTTTTCTGGATGCCAAACAGCGAGGATATCAAATCCATTTCGAAAATCTGGTACATTGCACATTAAACAAGGACGGCATAATTGAATCTAAAAGGTTTAAAGACGTGACAGAGATGATCAACGAGAGGCACGTTGAGTAGGACGGGAACGTATTTGTTATCTGTCTTGGTGTAGACCAATATTCCTTCCAAAGATTGCCCAAAATCTGCAATATCATATGAGATATTGTTTCTTAGAAGCTATTGATCCTAACATCCCCAACATGCATAAAGTTATAAACAACTTTGAAACCTCCGATGCATTTCTTGACTATTCTTCTCGCACTCCAGGATAAGTACCCATTACATGCCGTACTCAATCGACGAGACTGATCCAACTTAATCAAGATCATATTAGCGATGAGAAGATAGAGTTCAGAATATTGGGAATTTTGCATTTTAGAAAAAAGTAGAGTACAACGCTCTCGTCTGCACTGTATTGTATTTTATTTGTTGAAACGTAAATACTCGATTTTCGCAGCAAGCTTGTTTCATTCGTCAACTTTCTATTTATAAGTGTTCATCTACATAATTTCAATTTATTGTGTTTGTTGAATGCATTTTTTGATTTGTCTGCCTCAAATCTCTGATTTTTTTTACTTCTTCGGTTTAGGAGACTTAACAACCATGGTTGCTAATTCAGAAAATACAAGAACATATATTTCTTATTGTAGAATCTACTTGGAATGTTATCGAACATCGATAGAATGAAACAAAATTTGCCACGTAAATTTGACTTGATTTACATGACAATTTCACAGCATAATGAGTTTACTACTACGAGACAACATTTTTTAGTACACAACGTTCTCACAACATTCTTTGTCTCTCGTGACGACGTTACAGTTCATAAAGAACAAGCTACGTAACAAGTGTTTACAAGTTTATCTTGAGTTCTTTCAATCGTACTCCTCGAAGATATCATTTTCACAAAGCACACAGCCCGTTTTGCTTTTCCCGAGCTCAAACTACAGTCAAAAAGTTTACACGTCTAGAAACCATTCATCCAAGACTATAAATTGGTTGAAAGGTATAAGCAATTCTGGTAAAGAACGCATTTGTCCAGGGCGTCACATTCAACAACATGAGTAGCAGCCAAAATGGAATGAAGAATTCAGTAGACACAAAACTTACGATCACATCTCTGACTACGAATGTCCTTTTCCTTTCTCAAGAAATATGTCTGATCTTAGAATACTTAGTTCAAACGAACAGACAGTTTTGAAGTCTGCCAAACAGCCAGGATACGCAATCCCAGTAAAAGACCTAGTACATCATACAAGTAAAAAGCTGATATAATTAGATCCAAAGGATTTCTGGGCGGAAAAAAGAAGATCAACGAGACAAGTGGTGAGAGCGTATATGCTTATCTTTCAAGGCGGAGTCCAGTATTCGACGAAAATGTTGTCCGTAATCTGCAAGATCACATGAAAAATTGTTTCTTGGAATTGAACAATCGCAAACTCCATGACATAGATGTGATTAAGAATCAGTTTGGAGCTTCTGATGCAATCTTGCCATATACCATTCGTAATCAAGGTGAAAAATGTTACCATAGCTTTATTTACTCAATTGATGAGCTAGTTGAGTCCTATCAAGGACATGTTGGCAGGGCCGAGAAAATCGAGTTTAGAATATTGGGAACTTGTGCACATAAATTTAACATGAAGGAGTTCATGGGTAAAATATTCTGTTTTAAAAGATCTTAATCATCATCATGCTCAAAAAGTATGCTAATTTTGACATGCAACGTCTGTAAAGCCTAGTTCTCATTCATCGCAAAACGTCGGCGATAAAGCTTTTGCGACGTCGGCGAGCGCTTACTATTAATGAGAACGCTTTAAAATTTATGTCGCCGATTTTTTTGACGATCGCCGAGCGTCGGCGCTGCCATCGCAAGAAAAAAAATGGTTTGTTTCTTGCGATCATCGCCGATCATTACCGACAACTTTCCATAATCTAGTCCAACATGGCTGCTTTTGAAAATGACGAAGAATCAGACTTTGTTGAGTCATGCTCATAAACCACAAAAAACATGTTAAGGAAATAGTATGTGCGTAGTTTGTAGTTTAGTTTATCAATGTATCCGTTCCCACACAGCTAAGAGCCAAGGAAGGGTTATTGACGTTAGTTAAATTTCCTTATGTACCATATATAGCTTAAACAGAGGAACTACTCCGACCAATAATAATATTTGTTGTTTGTAATAAAGAGTATAAATACTTCTCTGTAAAATAATAAAAATCAGTTCGATCATTAAGTTCACTCGTGGTTGTTACTGAAGTTATAGAGTATACTAAGAAAGAGATATGGCGAGCAACTCGAACACAACAGACTTCGATTCAGTGCAAGCATTAAATATTCTTGCTGTTAAAGCAAATTACAGTGATAGAAGCTTTATGGAAATTATTCGTGACTTTCCCACGATATACGACAAGCGAACAAACGGTTTTCATGACAAACGAAAGAAAGCTAACTGCTGGCGACGAATAGCTGAATTGCTTGAAACTACAACAGAAGAAGTGGAAAGGAGATACAAGACTATTCATCTCACTTGTAAAAGGCTGGCTGCCCCGTCTTCTTTAATAATTTCTTCAGTAAGTTTCCATGTAAGTCAGGATGTTCAATAAATGAAATAAATAATAGTAAATTGTGAAAGGTTTATTGGCATAAAGCTTACAAGTCAAAACTCTTTGTTTTTACTTCAGTCATAGCTAAAGCAAAAAATTTGCATTTCATATTTAATTTGGTATGAACAGAATTAAATATTTTACAATAAAAACAGCAGGTGATTAAAATTGAACATTTATTGAACATTCCAATTTCTTTATTATCAAGCAGAAGCAAAGACATCACGTATTTGGTTGCGTCGTCCTTAATCTCTCAAAATTTGTTAAGGTATGATGATTGAAAGGTTTACCTTTCATCGTATCATTGTTGTTCTTATGTATAGAATTTTGTTATATTTGTCATAAAAAAATGGAATGTCATTTTCGTGGTGGAATTCGCACTTCATATGTTTTATGTTGATACATCTGTTGACTTTAATGGAATTTTCTCATTAACACATAGGATAATTTATCATTTCAAAATACTAACCTTTCTTGCATTACCACCAAGAATTAATTTCACTAGTCTTTTCAAATATCATTGGTACGGCAGGGATAAAAAATCAACAAGATGAATAAAAATCATGACACGTCACAGAATTTCAGTTATGCATATCATAAATGCAGAATGATTTTAATTTTATCTAACATGGCTTTTATCAAGAAGAATTTTTTCTTCTTTTATACAGTCATACATGCATTTATCTTATTCGTAACACAGATGATGACATAAAAACGTTTTGCTAGGTATGACTTTAAAAATTGCGCGTAATTGGAGTAAAAAGCTCACTTTTTCACGTGATAGTACACGTGCTTTCTTTCTGGTCTATAATTGTTCAACTTGTTGTAAGATAGACTATTTAAAATATTTGTTTGCGTCAAAAGTTCACAAAATAACAAAACTTTACATGATGAACTGTCAAGAACAAACGCTATTAATTTTGAAGTATCTCTGATTACTGAGATAAAACAAAACTATTCTAAATTAGAGACTTTGAGATTAATTACTCTGCTATTCCCTCTTTAATTAAAGACTGCTCCTAAAATTTTGAGCCCCCCAACATATACTTGCTACTCACGCCCCTGATCAAATTATTTGTTTATCCGGTCAAAAGTTTACAAAATGACAAAACTTCATTGACCACGTTTCAAAGTTGGAACGCTGACAATTTCAGAGAAGCTCTGTATATCGATTTTCTCAATTTCCTAAATTATAAATCTGTAATTTTTGAGCTATCTTATCTGTAAAAAGCTGAAACCGCGTTTTCTTCATGATTGTTTCAGTTAATTTCCATGTAAGTCAGGATGTTCAATAATTGAAATAAATAATAGTAAATTGTGAAAGGTTTATTGGAATAAAGCTTACAAGTCAAAACTCTTTGTTTTACTTCAGTCATAGCTAAAGCAAAAAATTTGCATTTCATATTTAATTTGGTATGAACAGAATTAAATATTTTACAATAAAAACAGCAGGTGATTAAAATTGAACATTTATTGAACATTCCAATTTCTTTATTATCAAGCAGAAGCAAAGACATCACGTATTTGGTTGCGTCGTCCTTAATCTCTCAAAATTTGTTAAGGTATGATGATTGAAAGGTTTACCTTTCATCGTATCATTGTTGTTCTTATGTATAGAATTTTGTTATATTTGTCATAAAAAAATGGAATGTCATTTTCGTGGTGGAATTCGCACTTCATATGTTTTATGTTGATACATCTGTTGACTTTAATGGAATTTTCTCATTAACACATAGGATAATTTATCATTTCAAAATACTAACCTTTCTTGCATTACCACCAAGAATTAATTTCACTAGTCTTTTCAAATATCATTGGTACGGCAGGGATAAAAAATCAACAAGATGAATAAAAATCATGACACGTCACAGAATTTCAGTTATGCATATCATAAATGCAGAATGATTTTAATTTTATCTAACATGGCTTTTATCAAGAAGAATTTTTTCTTCTTTTATACAGTCATACATGCATTTATCTTATTCGTAACACAGATGATGACATAAAAACGTTTTGCTAGGTATGACTTTAAAATTGCGCGTAATTGGAGTAAAAGGTCACTTTTCACGTGATAGTACACGTGCTTTCTTTCTGGTCTATAATTGTTCAACTTGTTGTAAGATAGACTATTTAAAATATTTGTTTGCGTCAAAAGTTCACAAAATAACAAAACTTTACATGATGAACTGTCAAGAACAAACGCTATTAATTTTGAAGTATCTCTGATTACTGAGATGTAACAAAACTATTCTAAATTAGAGACTTTGAGATCAATTACTCTGATATTCCCTTTTTAATTAAAGATTGCTCCTAAAATGTTGAGCCCCCCATCATATACTTGCTTCTCACGCCCCTGATCAAATTATTTGTTTATCCGGATCAAAAGTTTACAAAATGACAAAACTTCATTGACCGCGTTTCAAAGTTGGAACGCTGATAATTTCAGAGAAGCTCTGTTTATCGATTTTCTTAACTTCCTAAATTCTAAATCTTTAATTTTTGAGCTATCTTATCTGTAAAAAGCTGGAAAACGCGTTTTACTTCATGATTGTTTCAGTTAATTTCCATGTAAGTCAGGATGTTCAATAATTGAAGTAAATAATAGTAAATTGTGAAAGGTTTATTGGCGTAAAGCTTACAAGTCAAAACTCTTTGTTTTTACTTCAGTCATAGCTAAAGCAAAAAATTTGCATTTCATATTTAATTTGGTATGAACAGAATTAAATATTTTACAATAAAAACAGCAGGTGATTAAAATTGAACATTTATTGAACATTCCAATTTCTTTATTATCAAGCAGAAACAAAGACATCACGTAGTTGGTTGCGTCGTCTTTAATCTTTCGAAATTTGTTAATGTATGTTGATTGAATAGCTTACCTATCATAGTGTCATTATATGTTCTTATGTATAAAATTTTGTCATATTTGTCATAAAAAAATGGAATGTCATTTTGGTGGTGAGATTCGCACTTCATATGTTCTATAATGACACATCTGTTGACTTTGGTGGGATTTTTCCAATAACACATTGCATAATTTATCAATACAAAATTCTGACCTTTCTTGCATTATCACCAACAATTAATTTCGCTAGTCTTTTCAAATATCATTGGTACGGCAGAATTAAAAAATCAACAAGATGAATCAAAATAATGACACGTCACAGAATTTCAGTTAAAGGACATTGGCAGCGAAAATTTTTATGGCATATTTTTGAACATTTGTGATGTCTAACAACTAAAATAGCAAAATCTTTTTTTCAAAAATATTTTGTTGCTGAGATATTTGCAGCAAAAGTTTTATAAATTTCGCCATCTTGGATAAAATTTTGATAAAATTATCTCGAGCGGTAGTGACGTCATTGGCTGGTAAGCAGTCAAAACAACAATACAATATTCTTTGTGCACATAATAGATAACGTAACAGAAGGGCCACTGTCGTCGGAGCCTATGAAGATTTTGTTGTCAACTTTTAGCCCGCAATCAGGCATCGCCGCCATGTTCGCAGCAAAATAATTCCAGCAAGTTCGTAATAGAAAATATAGTAATGAGAAACAGTTCGGTGCGTCCTCGACAATTATATGGCTATTACATTTTTGTTTTGTGTATGCAATCGCGAGCAACGTCAAAGAAGGTAATTTTGACAACTTAGGTCGAATCGCATCGTTAGAATACACGTTTTAGAGTCAAAATTTGTTGTTGTGGTCTGATGCTTTTGCCAACTTGCCAACATTCAATCATGGTTATGCTTGTATTGCGAGTTACAATGAAAAGGATCATCAACTTTGTCTATGGAATTTTCCTTGTAGTAAGTTTGTAGAATGTTACAAATGTTTGACTTTAATGTACTTTCGCGATCGTTTATTAGAAGAGGAAAACTCGCGATTTGCAAATTTGATGCCGTAATAAATTCGCATTCTTAAAAAAGTTTGACCAAATATTGCAGTGGAAACTGTGAACATGTACGGAATGGCACTGGTATCATGTTAAGACTCTTCAAGATGCTCTTTCCAACATTCAGATTTTTGGTTGTGACAGAGAAGCAATCCACGAAGGTGTCTTCAAGTTGCATAATCTAATTTAAATAGCACGATGAAGGAGCAGTCAGCCCACCAAAGTTGAGTTCTTTATATGTTTTGAAATAGGAAAGCAAATTAACATCATTGTTTATGTTATTTGAAGTCAAAACGTTCTTACATTGGATACAGCTGTGGATTTTGAAAGCTTTGCTTAGCAAATATCCTGAAACATAGGCAGCAGCATTTTTGAGCAATAAATTGTTGCTAATATTTTGTTCTCGGTAGTCATTTTCACCAATCAACACTGAGTTACTTGGAGCTTTTGCATGGGTAAGTGGCATACTAAATGGTTTGGGCTTTTTTTGAAAATTGTGTTAGCAGAGTGTCCATATCTTTAGAACAGTTTCCTTTGGAAGAGGTCAAAAGTGAACTGAAAAAAACCTTTCAAAAAGCTCTGATAAATTGTATTGGCGTGGGATTGTCAGAATTACCTCCTTGATGGCGTATTGTTCCAAAAAAAATTCTCTAGAGCATCTGTGTTTAATCTTCTGATAAGCAAGAATGCAAAATTATGTGAGGTATGAAAATAGGTCCAGAAACAGATAATGGCCTTTATAGATATAAGCCATCCCTTCAGTGATTTGGTTCTGCCTGTGATGTTTTTACCATTTTCACCACTTTGATTCCCTGTATAAAGGACATTGCTTCTTTGAGAAAAGCAATGTGACTATTGCTGTTGCTTATTGCACTTCTTTGTTCTTTTGCTGCTTTCAATGTGAAACTATTGACTCAATCGAAAAGCGAATCAAATTTGAAAAGCAACTCAGCTGTACCCAAGGCTGATGGTGGTAGTGCTCCAATTGATGAATATGTGCAAATCGATGCAGCAACGGTGTGGCTGAATATTTGTGTAGCACATTTAACTTGAAAATTAATCTGAAAATTAATGCAGCGACAGCGATGTAACGAAAATAACAATATATATATATATATCAATAGAAGCAAGAGGACAATTTTATTGCCTTACAACGGAATCAATACTTTAAATTATCTAAAACATGACAAATATAAGGAACATATAGTTAAGAGCATCTGGAAGTTAGCTACAATCATACAATATAAGAATTTTCCCAACACAATATGGCATTGGCATTAAATACAATTGCACAAGTTTGCAATTTCTCAATGAGCATTTATCGAGTGTTTGGGATATGACTAAATTTGTCTGAATTCTAAAGCCCCAAATCCAATATCATACGAAGTATCTTTTTTAGTGTAGCCCGTCCGTTGATAAATTTCACATTGTTCCTTCTTGTTTCTGATTTAAAGACGTTCGTTAAGCGCTTCTCCGCTTCCGTTCTTTACAAATAACTAAATACGAATAACCTTGACCACACGGCCACGGCACAGCATTTCTCATACAGGTCTCGATAGAATTGTACACATTGGTTGTACATGAAAAAGCATAAAAATATGTTGATTGTTTGTTCCCATTTCAGCACGATGCTGAGGGTAGGTCTTGATTGCCTTTATTAACCACAGCTTTGATTTAGTCGTCTCAGGATGAATATTTCAACTTTTCAAGTAATAACGCCAAGATTTTTGAGTTGTACATTGCTACTCTTATTCAGTGTAGCAAGTTTATCTTGCTGCCAAAATGGCGGAATAAGCGCATGCGCATTAAAATTTAGGACCGCATTTTTCGCTAAGTGGCCCTTCTGTTACGTTATCTATTCTGTGCTTTGTGATTGACGGCGTTACAACACATTTAAAGCATATTTTACGGTTTTTTTAGCTGTAATGGATGACATACGCGAAAATCAACCGGGTTAGGTTCTGCCCTATCAATATGAACCTGAAATGAAGGCCGAAACAAGTGAAGAAAGCGGTTCCGAACAGGAGAGTGAGCGGGGCGACTTGTCCTCGTCGGAGGATGAAATAGATGCTGAAGTTGAGAAAGCAAATGCTTGGCGCCTTCAAACTCTTAGTTGGTGTAAGTGTGGACATTGTACTTTGTCAAAAGGCAATCGAGTGTTTTTGTTGCCTCGAAAAAGCGCTTGAATACGATGAGTATGAGGCTTTGCTAGGCCAAACAGAAACTCGAGGAGAGTATTGCTTGACAACACCAAGAATTTAGGGACAATATGCTATTTGAAAGTGTGTTAAAGATTGACGTGTGTCGGTATTTTGAAAAAAACTGGCCCCTGTCTGATGAGGAGCTGGCGAGAATACACAAGCTGTCTGGATTAGTCGCATATCAAAGATGTTCTAGGTGGATTTTTCAAATTTTAGGGAATAAACATCGAAGACCATTTCCTGCTTGTGTTTATGCTAGCATACGAAAACGCTTCGCGTCACCAGACGGACTTTATACACATTTTAAATACGCATATTATCACGAAAGACCGTAAATTTAAAGTCTTAGACAGACGCTCTTTGATGTTCTTTGTTATGACCTGCAATTGCGATGCCATATCATTGTCGAAGGATTGCACGAACTGCGCAAAAGCAAAATGCATGAGTGATCCACCCAAAACTTGTATTCATTCATAAGTTATAAAGTTAATAGAAAAGTGTACTTGTACATTGTGCACGCAAACACGCACGTAAAACATTACGGATAAACGAAACTCTACAATCATGAACAAAACATAGTGGCTTATAGCTTATCACCTATATAAAACTACATAATCTCGCAAAGACTCTTATGTATATAAATAATTAATTAAATGTATAACTCTTTGTTGGTCACAGGTTTGTAATATGGGAAAATAAAATATTTCTATTGCACGAAATGTTCAGTGTACAAAACACGCTTATTGTTGTCTGGGCTTACACTTGGTATGTCGCGAAAGCCTAGTTGTAAGATCTGCTAAAATAAACGTTTCTACGTCTTATAACGACTAAATATTGGAAAAGTATATAAGCGTGATATACTACACAATTTTGTTAATCTTAACAACCGCCGACTGTTGTTTTGTTTTAAAATTCCAGTGAACAAATGTGCTATATATTATCCTAATACTATTATTTTATATTGTGTCATTCAGTTGATACCAGGCAATGACGTCAGTAATGTATTCCGGCAAAATTTAGCATAAGGCTTTTTTTCCAAAAAGGCGGATAAGGATTCAACTTTAGGTCAAATTTTCTCAACAGCAAAATTAAAAGAGACACGATAACACGAAATTAAGTATTCCATAGCTATCTATAATAAACGTATGAAAAAAAATTTCATTGCCATTGTCCTTTAAAGATGTTTAGAAGCTATAGACTCCTTACATTTAACTGCAATATAACATAAATCACTTACGTTTTAACAGAAGCCAAGACTGCTGTTGATACTGTTTGAACTTAGCTAAGCAAGGCTTAGCGTGAAGTCAGGAATAATTACAAAAGTAATATTTTCTGGATTAAATGTGATAAAAAGCTTACTTCTATAAAATAAGAAACAGTTGGCTGCATGTAGTTTCGAGTTTAGAATGCAAGAGTTGAAGAACACTTGAAAAACTTTTAAAAGAATTGGTTAGTAGAACAACCCAATTAATCTCAACCTCACTCCAGAATTATGTTTTGGGAAAGAAAATAACATGTTTTGCATTTTTATTCACACTAGAAAATTCAGAAACAGTTCAGTCATGGCGGGGTCAGAGATACCATGGATAGAGGGAGTGGCAAATAAAGGTAAAGAACTTATTTTCCCTGGAAGACACGTGCAACAACACGAGTGGAAGCCAGAATGGAATCGTGAATTTCGTAAACACTATGACTACATCTCAGATTACGAATGTCCTTTTCTTTACTCAAAAGAAAGACACGAGCCAATTCTCAGCCAGACAAAAAAAGAAAATTTGCGGGCTGCTAAACAGCAAAGAGATCCAATCCTAATCGACACTCTGGTTCATCGCACACCATTTCCTAACATGAATAGAATAATTTCAGATAAAGGCTTTAAAGGCGGCAAGAAAAAGATCAATAAGAGGCAAAAAGCTTATTTGTCTTGGTGGAGTCCACGTGTCAGCAATGATGTCTGCAAAAATCTGCAAGATCAAATGCAAACGTTTTTCTCGCAATTTGCCGATGATAAAATCAACAGCATAAATGATATTACAGAGCAGTTTGGAGAATCCGATGCGTTTTATTTTGGTCGTTATCGCGGTCAAGGGCATGAATGTGAGTATTATTTTGAATACTCAATCGACGAGCTGCTTAAATCTTATCAAGACCATATTGGCGATGAGAAGATGGAATTTAGAATACTGGGAACTTTTGCATACCTTGTCAAAGTAGAGTACAACGTTCTCGTTTGCAGTGAAAGCGCTGGGAAAGATGAATTTGCTGAATACCCGCTCGTACCGGAAGAGAACAATGTCGTAACGAGATAAAGAGGCAAATTTCGGTGGTATCCACAGGCTACGGGAACCGTAATCAAGCGTTTTCACTCCTACCAAATTGATCCAGAGTACAGGCGGTATGATCGTGTATCTTTTGCATTTCATGTGCGAGAAGGAGATATATTTGAAACAGATTGTGTGAAAGATAAAGGCAAGAAAATACCACCTGAATAATTCACAAAAGCCTACTCACGACGCTTTATTTACAGCCAAATTTAGTACAAAAATACATCCCATTCTAAAGTCTGTTTGAGATATATTACGGCAATCGTTCAGTAAATCGTAGGCCAAAGCCACATAAAACGGTTTTGGTGGACATTGCATGATATCCGTAATTCGCTTAATTCTAAACGAAAGAGATTTCTGAGTTCTGACGTTTGTCAAATATTAGAAAAATTCAATAAAAATTCATAGATTGAAACAATGAAACGCCTCAATTATTTGCTTTCATTTGACATTTTTATCGGTTATGCATCTAAATGCATATTTCGTTCGAACAAAACACGTTGCCGGATATGGCGAGAGCACATATTACACAATTTAGTCGAAAAGGTTTTGTAATGTAAAATAGGGACTTTATCCTTATAATAAAATTCTAAAATTTTTTTATTGAAAATAGTAAATACCATGGTGAAAGGTCGAAATAACAATATAATAGTCCTTAAAAGAATGTTTAAAAATAGAACACTAACTCAATAGTTATAAAAGAACTGTTTTAAAGTTGAAAGACACAGTGCTGTAGAACTAAATTTATCAGATGGGGGGCTCTCTTGACGTTTTTGTTAATAGTGCCCTTTTAAAATTAGCCATTTCAAAGGTAGAAGGGGCTCCCCAAGCGCCCCCACTTCTACAGCACTGGAAAGACACTAGAGAGCTTTAGCAAGAGTACGACTACGACAACGAGTACGAAGTTTGACCGTGTTATGGAATAGCACGAGGAAGTTTGTTGTCATTGTCCCTTCGTCAAAAGAGAGGTTTAGCTGTAAACAACAGAACGAGCCTTTTTATTGTGAAGAACACCGACGTTTGCGAAGCAGCTACGGCTCTATTTGTCAATAACGATATCAAGTAATCGGTAATACTGGTTTTGTGAGAACATATGACTCTTTAGAGTGAAAATCTTCACTGTTTTAAATTTTATGTACGATATATTTATGCTATTTTATTGTTTGTTTACCGTTCACTTTGAGTACAAAATACATGAAAGTTTTCAAGGTCATATTTTCCTTTTAAATGTACATCTGCGCTCAAAACGGTTCTAAAAAAAACCGGATACTTAAAAATAGTACTATAAACTAAATTCTTACACAATGAAAAAATAACTACTTTCTTTCTTAGCGAAAGACATCGTAGTCGCGACTACGAATTTTTACAAAACATGGTACTCAGATTGATTGACAGCTACGTTGTTGTTGTCGCAACAATGTTATTGCGCCAAAATGACGTAATTCGTACCCGTAGTCGTTTAAGTATCCGGTTTTTAGAACCGTTTTGAGCGCAGATGTATTTTAAAGGGAACTCCACAAAAAATAATGTTGGTCTTAAAAGTTCCATTTTATGCAAAGGTTACTATATATTTTGAAATTTTACATCAGCTATTTTATTTTGACAAAATCGCGTCTTCAAGTGCGCTATTTGAGCTGTTTTGAGGCTTAGCAGCGTGGGCACAGAAAGCGTCAGCGGAAATTATTTTGACGTCATATCGTCAAACCGATTTGGAGTTGAGTTTACAACAAAGTAAAATAATAACGCACAGCCTAGCACAAAACAAAACAATCGCTTATAATGGCTTTTTTGGAAGAACCTCGGCCTAATTCACCAATCGATAGTGAAATGGAAGACAATCCAACAAACAATATTCGGCCATATCAGTTTGAGCCCGAATGGCCGGCTAATGAACACGAAGAAGCTCACCAGTTTGAGGATAACGAAGAACAGGAATTTTTGTATATTGACGATGAATCTCGGCGCGACAATCTTGAATGGTGGGTAGTAAAATGTTATATTATTCTAGACCATTGTTTCTATCTCAAAAGTACGTTTTCAGTTTTTGAAGTTGACCACGTCCACACACACATAATACTTTGATTTTAAAGTTTTATTGTAAGATACAATTTTTATTGAAGTTTTGACATTTACTTTTCAAGATCCTTTCTTTTAACATATTCAGGTGTCAATGTGGTAACTGCCAAATAATGGATAATAACGAGGAATGTTTATGCTGCAAAGAGATTTCCAATATTTGTGACAAAAATTTAGAGGCAGTAGAAACGAATGAGACCACCGAAGTCCCTTTGTGCATTACACAACATCCTGGTTTTGAGCCTGTTTGTCTTAACAGGTGGGTTTTACAAACAGCTTGGTACCAGTACAAGCAGCAATATGAGGTAGCATATGATGGGCCCGAGGACAAACTGTATCGCCATATTGCATATAGACAGTTGGCAAGATGGTGCTGGGGTGTCTTGGGTAGAGAAGAGAGTCATCTTGCCATCATGTGCAGTTACTCGCATTAGAGAAACATTTCCTCCACCTGGCCTTGCAGAGGAATTTCAATTTGAAGGCTTTCACTATGTTGATGAATGAAGTATTTTATTATGATATAGGTATACCCATTACAATTACTTTGTATGTCAATATTAAAGTGGCATAGCCAGCTCATTTATAGGTCATGCTATGCACATTTATTATTATTAATTTATTACAAAAAACAGATTTACAAAGAAATGATTATAAATGTGGCTTGGCTATTACACTGGTTATAATATAACTATAATTAATTACATGAATAGTTTGTGTAATGCAGTGGTGAAACTAGCTATAGCAAAAGGTTTTGCTATGTTAATATTTAAGAATGAACATTTTTTAAGTAGTACAAAAGTTGTCTTCACTGATTCAACGTCATATTATATGGGTATGGCAAAACCTATTGCCATAGCTAACATCACCACTGACATTTTATGCAAATCTAGACTGATGTTCCTTTACAAGTACTTCTTTCCTGGGTGGACATGATTTAGAAATGTTCTTTGGAAGATTCTCGCCATGATGTACAAGTTCAATCTCCTCAGTTTTGCATGCATTCACAACCTCCGCAAGTAGTTTATCAATGTACTGGTACTCTTTCTTTTCTTTCATTGCTTTTACAACCCATTGCTTCTGTGTTTTAGCAAAAAACATTTTGTAACGGTCTTGCCCTTTGTTTGTCCCTGACTTAATGACTGCTTTATCACGTTTAATATTGTTGTTGTGATCTAATGCTGCTAACTGAGTGGGGCTACCATCCTGAAATGGAAAATGCTCTCGCTTTGGGCAGGTCTTTTAGAAGCCTCTTGTCACATATCACCTTCTCGGCAGCGATATATGCTTGTGAATAGGAGATAACCACTTCTTCTGCTTTGTTTCTTTTTCTGTTAATTGTTGGTGGCAACATTGATGAAAATATGTGTTCCCCTTCCAGAAATGCTTGTTGGAAATGTGGTTAAGGACAGACTTCCATTTTTCCACCAATTCTTCTGCATTCTTGTTACAACTTGCAGAGCACCACCAAAGATGATTAGAAATGGACTTAATCCAATGGGTCAAGTCATCATTTCCTTAATGTTAGCCTTCTTTGTTAGTTTTTGTGACAGATTTAGACAATGCCACACATCATATTGGTGATCAATATGAGGGTGTTTGTTTTCAGCCTCTGCATCCACAGTATTCAGCATCGACAGTGTAGTTTGGACTTCCATGGCATGTAAACTCCTCACAACAAATGAACACTGTGTTGATGCATCTTTGGTTTCTGGCTTGCAATAATTAGTTGGCAATGCTTCAGGACTGTCAGACGCACCCAAATCACAACTGTTATTTGCTTCAGGCTCAACCACTGAGAAAACATTTGTACTTGTGGAGGAACATTGTTCTAAAATATTTGAAAGCTGAAAATAAAAATAATAGAAATATTTAGAATATACTTTAGGCTATAACTTCTTCTTGATTAAAATTTAACAAGAAATGCTTTTACTAACTTCCTCCTTGTCTTGATCAGCCTGACGTTTCTCTGTACGATGCTCGCTAGACAGACGCTTTTTACTGGGTTGAGGGCCAAATGAAAAGATCGATGGTACTGCATCCCGCTTCAGTCGCCTTTTTAAAGGTTGCCATGGTGTAAGTTTCTGTCTTAGGTCCGATTCAAAACAATCGGGAGCAAAGTGCTCGCTGCAAACGTAACAGTATTGAGAGGAGGTAGATTTTCTCTCCGTATTCTAGCAATCCATTATTATACAATTATGTACAATAATTAGGAAACTATAAGTTCATACTTTACGTCAAGGAAACTACAACTTAATTCTATGCACGAAAGGCTATTTTTACAATGGTTTTATGTAGGATTATTTTCTAACCGTAATGAGTTACACAACCATGTTTATTATTATTCAATGTTTATTAAGGGCAATAGATTGGTTTCACATCAGTGGAAACTGTTGTTAAGGTTGAATTCGGAGGACAAGCAAACGGCATTACGCACAGTTTCCACACAAAGAAACCTTCGTATTTTTTAAAAAATAATATTAATCGACATTCAAGTTCTATATGTAGTGCGGAAACTGTGCGTAATGGCCTTTATGGATGTGAAACCGTTCTATTAAAACAGAATACAAATAACCAGCTCAATACTTGCATATAAGCTATAAAAGTTGCTTGTGTATATACCTACGAATAAAAATTTCTGACGTTTCGAAAAGAAACATTTTGTGATTAGGAGAAGCATTTTGACGCAAGTTTATTATGACTGTGCAATGACTTTACATAAAGCTTTGAGGAGCAATTGACGATATGACGTCAATACAAGCCGCTGACATATTTCTGCTCCCACGCACCGGATGCCCTAGCTGCAGCATTTCAACTCATTTTTTGTGAAAATATTGAATCAAACAAACAAAAAATTGCCGCATATTTATTTTCACGGGACAGACAAAGTTTTAAGACCAACATTGTTTTTGGGTGGAGTTCCCCTTTAAATGTACATCTGCGCTCAAAAACGGTTCTAAAAAAAACCGGATACTTAAAAATAGTACTATAAACTAAATTCTTACACAATGAAAAAATAACTGCTTTCTTTCTTAGTGAAAAGACATCGTAGTCGCGACTACGAATTTTTTACAAAACATGGTACTCAGATTGATTGACAGCTACGTGTTGTTGTTGTCGCAACAATGTTATTGCGCCAAAATGACGTAATTCGTACCCGTAGTCGTACTCGTAGTCCTTACTAAAGCTGGCTACTATGCATTCAGCAGACTACTCATCAGGTGTTAACGTCAGCTAAATAAGAATTAAAAATCATGCAACAGTTAATAGTAAGAAAAGCTAACGTCATCTCTTGTCATGCACGTTGCACGATAAAACCGTTATATTTATCTCGAGCACATAATTTTGACATTGACGTTAGTTTAAATGATTTAATTTTGAACTTTCATCATACAACGAAGTCGTCTCTAAGAAAACTACTTCACAATTCAATAACAACATCTCGAATGTATAATGTTAACAACAACTCCCCCCTTCTGTAATAACCCCAAAGTGTCAATCACGTGAAATGCACGCGATCCTCAACAACAACACTCGTTAGCAATCTAGTTCTATTATATCTATGACGACAAAACTCAACGACGCACGCACATGTGCATTGGCTTAAAATTCATTTCCGCTCGCGTTGTAGATGAGCGCGTCGTTAAACCTAAGGTCACTAACAACATAATTGCGACCGGTCAACTTAACAGGCGTATATTTTGGTGGAAAAATAATTTCGAGGACGGAGAAAAACGCACTCATTTTCAAAGGTAGGTTCTGGTAATTTTATTATCTGTAGTCTGAAAGATTCGTGCATAATTCATACGGAACAAGTGCTTTGTTTGTTTCATTAAACAACAGACGAAAACGAAATACTGCATTGAGATAATTTCAAAGCAAATACGCCACAACAAGGACAAATCATTCTCAATAACCACTGGACATTAACATCACGAAACAGAAAACTGAAGAGCAACAAACAAACTCATAAGCAATGAATTTCAGTCAGGAACTAGGTGAATTTTAACCTAAAAATGCCAGCGTAACAAAGACAAATGAAGAGTAAAAATTCATTTATCCACGTCATTGACGACGATATTTAATCAATGTTTCTATAAAGCTAGAAGTATTCTTAAAGTAATTCTAAAATTGGAACGTCTGTATAATAACATCGTTACATGAATTTCCCACAACTTTTACGTGTTGGTGTAAATGATAATAATGGTGTTAGTAGTAGCAACAAGAAACATTGAAACTAAACAGCACGCCCACATTAAACAGAAGGCTCTTATTTCACTGTGTACACCTGTTACCGGGCACGTCTTACACAGTAGGCTTTCTTTATTAAGTACAAACACAACAAAAAATCAACCGTATAACGAAAACAACCCCCCCCCCCCAAAAAAAAACACACACAAACTATTTTTTTAATAAGCGCTCTGCGTACTTTAATGCTTAAAGATGTTTATAAGCTATAGACTTCTTACATTTAACTGTAATATAACATAAATCACTTACGTTTTAACAGAAGCGAAGACTGCTGTTGATGCTGTTTGACATTAGCTAAGCAAGGCTTAGCGTGAAGTCAGGGATAATTACAAAACTAATATTTTTTTGGGATTAAATGTAATAAAAAGCTTACTTCTATAAAATAAGAAAGTTGGCTGCATGTAGTTTCGAGTTTAAAATGTAAGAGTTGAAGAACACTTGAAAAACTTTTAAAAGAATTGGTTAGTACAACAACCCAGTTAATCGCAACCTCATGTTTTGCATTTTTATTCACACTAGAAAATTCAGAAACAGTTCAGTCATGGCGGGGCCAGAGATACTATGGATAGAGGGAGTGGCAAATCGAGGTAAAGAACTTATTTTCCCAGGAAGACATGTGCAACAACACGAATGGAAACCAGAATGGAATTGTGAATTTCCTAACCACTATGACTACATCTCAGATTACGAATGCCCTTTTCCTTACTCAAAAGAAAGACACGAGCCCAATCTCAGCCTGACAAAAAAAGAAAAATTGCGGGCTGCTAAACAGCAAAGAGATCCAATCCTAATCAACATTCTGGTTCATTGCACACCATTTCCTAACATGAATGGAATAATTTTAGATAAAGGCTTTAAAGGCGGCGAGAAGAAGATCAATAGTACGCAAAAAGCTTATTTGTCTTGGTGGAGTCCAAGATTCAGCAATGATGTTGGCGAAAATCTGCAAAATCAAATGCAAGGGTATTTCTCGCAATTTACCGATGATCAAATCAACAACATAAATGATATTAAAGAGCAGTTTGGAAAATCCGATTGTTTCTTCTTTATTCTTATCGCAAACAAGGGCATGAATGTGAATGTTATTTTGAATACTCAATCGACGAGCTGCTTAAATCCTATCAAGACCATATTGGCGATGAGAAGATGGAATTTAGAATATTGGGAACTTTTGCATACAAAAAAAAAGTAGAGTACAACGTTCTCGTTTGCAGTGGAAGCGCAGGGAAAGATGAATTTGCTGAATACCCGCTCGTACCGCAAGAGAGCAACGTCGTAACGAGAGATAAAGAAGGCAAATTTCGGTGGTATCCACAGGCTACAGGAACCGAAATCAAGCGTTTTACACCTACCAAAATTATAAAGAGTTCAGACGTTATGATCGTGTATCTTTTGCATTTCATGTGCAAAAAGGAGAGATATTTAAAACAGAATGTGTGAAAGATAAAGTCAAGAAATTACCAATTGCATAATTCACAAAAGCCTACTCACGACGCTTTACTTACAGCCAAATTTAGTACAAACATCATCCCATTCTAAAGTATGTTAAAGATATATTACGGTAATCGTTCAGTAAATCGTAGGCCAAAGCCACATAAAACGGTCTTGGTGGACATCGCATGGTATCCGTAATTCGTTTAATTCTAAACGAAAGAGATTTCTAAGTTCTGACGTACGTCAAGTATTAGAAAAATTCAATAAAAATTCATAGATTGAAACAATGAAGGGCCTCAATTATTATTCGCTTTCATTTAACATATTTATCGGTTACGCATCTAAATGCATATTTCGTTCGAACAAAACATAGCCGGATATAGAGCACATATTACACAATTTAGTCGAAAAGGTTTTGTAATGTAAAATAGGGACTTTATCCTTATAATAAAATTCTAAATTTTTTTCATTGAAAAATAGTAAATACCATGGTGAAAGGTCGAAATAACAATATAATAGTCCTTAAAAGAATGTTTAAAAATAGAACACTAACTCAATAGTTATAAAAGAACTGTTTTAAAGTTGAAAGACACAGTGCTGTAGAACTAAATTTATCAGATGGGGGGCTCTCTTGACGTTTTTGTTAATAGTGCCCTTTTAAAATTAGCCATTTCAAAGGTAGAAGGGGGGGGCTCCCCAAGCGCCCCCCCCCCACTTCTACAGCACTGGAAAGACACTAGAGAGCTTTAGCAAGAGAACGACTACGATAACGAGTACGAAGTTTGACCGTGTTATGGAATAGCACGAGGAAGTTTGTTGTCATTGTCCCTTCGTCAAAAGAGAGGTTTAGCTGGAAACAACAGAACGAGCCTTTTTATTGTGAAGAACACCGACGTTTGCGAAGCAGCTACGGCTCTATTTGTCAATAACGATATCAAGTAATCGGTAATACTGGTTTTGTGAGAACATATGACTCTTTAGAGTGAAAAATCTTCACTGTTTTAAATTTTATGTACGATATATTTATGCTATTTTATTGTTTGTTTACCGTTCACTTTGAGTACAAAATACATGAAAGTTTTCAAGGTCATATTTTCCTTTTAAATGTACATCTGCGCTCAAAAACGGTTCTAAAAAAAACCGGATACTTAAAAATAGTACTATAAACTAAATTCTTACACAATGAAAAAATAACTACTTTCTTTCTTAGTGAAAAGACATCGTAGTCGCGACTACGAATTTTTTACAAAACATGGTACTCAGATTGATTGACGGCTACGTGTTGTTGTTGTCGCAACAATGTTTTTGCGCCAAAATGACGTAATTCATACCCGTAGTCGTACTCGTAGTCCTTGCTAAAGCTGGCTACTAGGCATTCAGCAGACTACTCATCAGGTGTTAACGTCAGCTAAATAAGAATTAAAAATCATGCAACAGTTAATAGTAAGAAAAGCTAACGTCATCTCTTGTCATGCACGTTGCACGATAAAACCGTTATATTTATCTCGAGCACATAATTTTGACATTGACGTTAGTTCAAATGATTTAATTTTGAACTTTCATCATACAAAGAAGTCGTCTCTAAGAAAACTACTTCACAATTCAATAACAACATCTCGAATCTATAATGTTAACAACAATTCCCCCTTCTGTAATAATCCCAAAGTGTCAATCACGTGAAATGCACGCGATCCTCAACAACAAAACAAAAACAAATGTTCATCACATCTCTAAATTTGTAGATGACGTCATGACGCTTAAAACAAAGATAAATTATAAACCCGTAATCCTTTGTAGGCGACGAATCAATGCTTGTTAAGAATTGACCATTCTTTTATGGATAACACCATCTAAAAATTCTAATCGAAACAAAGAAAGCGTTATCCATATGCCACGCCCAGTTGCATATTCATGTATTCCGTCACTATCCAAGGATGGGAAGTCAAATTCAGGGTGCTCTTACCAGCTCTACCACGTGTTATGGTTGTCCGAATCAGTCAATATTACGAAAGTTTGTTCATGCATTCAAATATTAAATTTATGTTCGAACCCAATGATAAAAATTCAAACGCTCCCACTAAACATTTGACAAACATAAATTTAAAACGAAGTGGCTCAGACATAATATTAAGTTAACAATTCCAATGGGAAGAAACACTTAACAAATTCGAAAACAGCACGCACAAAACATTTGAAAAAGGCACGCGGTGTTCACGTGTTACATTTGGCTAATTTTAATAATTCAAGAGTGCTCTAATTTATACAGGGGTGCGTTTCTGAGCAGGATTTCTCAACCACAACGCTATTTAGTATGGCGTAGCGCCCAAAAGTACTTCGTTATGTTCGGAAGAGCAAATTCAAACAATGGTTGATTTGCACACTATTAGGAACTTCTTGAATTATTAAATTGTACTCATCGTACTCAGATTGATGACGGTTACATGTTTTTGTTGTCACAGCAATGTTTTCGCGCCAAAATGACGTAATTCGTATTCGTACTCGTAGTCTTTGCTTAGGCTCGCTACTATATAGATTAAGACGACGGAATTACAACTGTTTTATAGGCGCGTTGAAAGTTATAGCCTATTAAATTGTCGTATCGTCTTTTATAGATAAGTTTATGAACGCACTGCAACAGGCGACCAATTAGGATACAATGCGACAAGAATCCAGCGCCACTGAAAAGCCAAAGAACATACGAAGGAAAAGTCATGACAGTTTTTCACCTTCAACAATAAAAATATTTGTGTAACTGTGTCCTGAGGCGTAGCTAGAACGTTAATTGGAGAGGAGAAGGGGGGTGTGTGCTTTATCATATATACAGTTGTGCCCTACTGAATTTTTTGAAATGAATATGCACCCACCCCCCCCCCAATCAACGTTGTAGCTACCGCCCCCTTTGAAGGGCCAGTCGTGACAGAAAAAGCTGATCCATTAAAGAATAAGTTACACGGTAATGCTTTGCGCGCTTAGCCATGCACAGGCAGCCAGTTCAGAGGCACCCCAAAATGGCGATACACTCACTGGCTACATTACATTAGGTTGTCAATGCAGTGATAAGTCTACTTCGACTGCTAAGTCTGGTAAATCGACGGTCGGCCAAGAAATGAAAAAGAATTAACAAATATTGAATTGAATAAAGATGTAGTCATGTTTGATTGCCAGAAAACAATCCTTGCGCACGTTTGTCCATCGATGTACGAATCAATGTTGATTTTTAGCAGTTTGTACTTTGCAGTGCGGCCTGTTCTTCATGATCAGGTTGTTGAACGGGCGATCCGTAATAGCTTAAATCGTCTTCATCTTCCTAAATTAACGCAGTCAAGTCTTGATCTTATTTAAATGGGGCATTTTGTGTAATATTGTATTTAATTAATTATTGAGACATCATTCTTTAATCCTAGACAATGGTTCATGGTTACAGTCACGTGGCATATTATACCCATGACATGCTGGCAGCCTGGTAATTATATATTGCAAAGCCAAAAATTTCTTCATTTCAAAACGTTTGTGTCGTTTCCTTTTTTTTCAACACTCTCGCAGTTCACATGGCGGGTTTTCTACGAAGAATGCAAAGCACAAACGGGAAACGCAAATGTTTGTGTTCGGGTAGCTTTTGACCTGTCCCGCGGAGTCAGACATCGACATTAAAATCGTCACGCAGACATATTCACACAACACATGATCCATCAATGGCGAAGGTATTAAGGATAGAAAAACAATCTTACGCTTCTCATTTCTTCATTGCGTGTTGTTGACTTTGGTATTATTATAAACGTCGATCTTCCACCTAGTACGATCATTCATTTTCTGCAACTTTTTTTCGAATGCGTAATGATTAATCCTCAGTATATATTGATCTAATTAATGCTTCCCCATTGTGATTTACTCTTTACTTCACGTTGACAATTGCAAACCCGACTAAAATAACATTTTAAGTACAATTCCTGGTGGGAAGGGAATCTTTGTCATGGAAAGTTTACAGGTGAGGTCTAACAGCACCGGCCTTCCATGATTTAATTTAAATTCTTATTCGGCACGACTACGACACGTCAAACGCAAATGAACAAACATGACGCACACGGGACAGATATTCATTGGTAATTATACTACTAGATGGATATTATCCTATGCTAATTAAAAAATAATTGGTGCCTAAATTCTTTAATACACCCACAAAGAGTTTTGTTGTTAGCATTATAAACATTCATAAAAAATTAAATTCGACACCATGAGGTGGCACTTGTACGTTTTTGGAAGGGGGTGTTTATTCATGCTGTGCTCGACTGATTTTTTTTCAAATTTCATAACCTCAAAATATGTTCCCGCAGAAAAACATGAAAGAAAAATTAATGCAAAATCGAGAATTCTCGATTCGATTCTTCCGACTTTCGAAAGCATTTTTAAATCTGCAAACGCAAAACGTGAGGCCGGCGAGTCATCAAAGTATGTAATATGTAATTGCACCTTCCGACTGGAATTTCAAATTTAAATTGACGTCGAAAGATGAATGGAATTATTGCAATGCGGGACTTTCACACTTATATTGGATACAGAAATAACGGTGGACACACGGCATTCGCTTACCGACCGCTCAATTAGAGAGTTCACTTGACACTCGGCTGGACAAGTAACTCGAGAAAAGAAGAAATCTTCATTTTAAGTAGTTTTCTTACGAAACAAGGTAATGTTTAGTAATGTATTCTGCAATTTACATGACGCTTATTGATGTCCGCACAAAGGACGTCACAGCATTGATTTTGCACGACCAGCGTGCTTAAAAAATTCGTACTTTACAAAACGGTTAAAAAATTGCTGTAAAAGACTGTGTTGCATGCACGAAAAGCCAGTGTAGCAGCCGGTACAGCAGCAGTAGTCCAATCTGATAATGCTCTACGGAATCTTGCGATAATTCGTGCAAACATCTTCTCACACATGTTGCTAATTATTTGAACAATCAAGCGATTATTTGTAACATGCTTGTACCTTGTACCTCTTGGGACATCTCAAATGTCGTAAAATTTGCCATCATCAACGCAATTTGAGTTAGAAGCTTTGAGTTTTTGGGATTGTTGCCGATTTTGAAATTACTTAATTAATTAAGTTCGTGCACTCGACGATTAATCTAAACTTAATCAGAGAGTAAGATTAATATGTGGGAGTTCAGTTTTATCGAATTGACGTATTTTCAACGCATGAAAACGAAATGAACTGTAAAATAAAAGCGACATAGTTAAATGTGCAATGAAAAATAGGGAGGTGCTCAGGAAAATTCCAAATTCATCCAATATTACACAATCAATGTAATAGGCCACCGTCACATTATAAGTCTTCTGGAATTTTTGAAAAAATGAGATGTTACTTTAACACCATGTGTGGGAGATTAGACCATTTTTCAGTGTTCAACATTAGGTGCAACATTAGCTTTAGTTATTTGTATTCTGTAGATGTCCATAGATGTCCATAGCTATCCATAGCTATCCATACAATGACAATAAATAAGTGCTTGATTTCTCTAAGCATATAGAGAGCGATGACCATACTTTTAAACGACTCAAACTGCGTTTGAATAAATTTTTTACAAATTTCATGAGATGAGACTTGAAAAGTTGAAAAATTAAGGCAAGCAGAGTCTGCATTTGGTAATATTTGCATGAAATAGGGAAAAATAATTTAAAACCCATATCCTTTTCCACTTCCCAAGAGCTATTGAAAGCAATTGGGCATTCATCCACAGGAACACATACCGTAAAAAAAATTATAGCGTGCATTGATAAAAACAAACACCACGTTGCGCTTCACGTTGACAGGTCGCCTCGATTTCGTGTAAGCTTTTGAATGTAAAGCGCGATTAAATGCAAATGCATATTGCTGACAATTATTTCATCGCTCAATCTGATAGCCTTCAAAGCTGCCAAAATGCCATTTAAGACATAAACTTTCGCAATGTCGAATGCCTTGGACAGCAAGAAAGCTCGCTCCCCTCGCTGCTCATTATGAACACCCGAACGATATACAATTATTGAAAATCATCGTTTTTCCCTCGCAGATAAGACTTTGAAAGCTCGCACAATGGACAAGAGGATCTGGTTTCTTCTGCTCCTGCTGTTAGGTGAACAAGCTTGGCCAGCGGATTGTACAACATGCTACAGTCCTATGGATAACGAGATGGAAGTAATTGGACACTGTGCAACTTCATGTTACAATGGAGCACTTGTTAAGTCAAGAAAATGCCATCACAGTCTACGCTGCTGCATACCAAATATCCTCAGAAGAACCTTGCTGATCTGAGTAAGCGCCGTACACAAAACATGAGCGACCACAATTCAAAAAGAATTGGAAGAGATATGACGTTAACATTTGGTGAACTTTACACGGTCCTTGGATTTTATCTTTGTTGACTTTGGCAACTTATACTTTTTGACAACATTTTTATTTTAAAATCAAACTTAAGTCTTTTGTTAGAATATCATAGAGATCTGTGTAGGAGAAAGGGTACAGTGACATATTGGCCTCCAAAGCTATTTGTTTTGTCGCATGCTTTTCACGCACAAACACACGCATGCGTAAAGGATAACATATCAGACACTCAAATTATGGAGCTTTTAGTTTATATCGTGATTTGTGATTGGTAAAATTTGGTATTACTAATTAGTGAGAGTAAAAAGGGTGGCAAACATTTTCTAAATAAATATCAATCTTTGGAAAACATTTCATCAATATTTTGTGAAAAAAAGATACATTTAGTTATTAACACATGACATGACATGACAATGGCGTGCCAAGTGAGATGTACTAGGACCTTCAGAGCTTTTTCGAACATTCGTTTGAGCTTCGATGCATCGCTCTCCTTTTTCTTATTTCTGACTAACACAGCCAAAGAATATCTGAGAGTTTTGGAGAGCCTTTAGGGCAAACCCTTTTTACTGTTCAAGTACAAAATTATGAGTCTTAAAGTCATGCTTTGCGCGCTTGGTTAACTTCATTTTGGCATTAACACATGACATGACATGACAATGGCGTGCCAAGTGAGATGTACTAGGACCTTCAGAGCTTTTTCGAACATTCGTTTGAGCTTCGATGCATCGCTCTCCTTTTTCTTATTTCTGACTAACACAGCCAAAGAATATCTGAGAGTTTCGGAGAGCCTTTAGGGCAAACCCTTTTTACTGTTCAAGTACAAAATTATGAGTCTTAAAGTCATGCTTTGCGCGCTTGGTTAACTTCATTTTGGGGATTCTAAAAACAACGGCTTTCGTATTTTGCTATATGCAAATAAGTACACTTCATACGAAACTTCGGGTGTGAAACCATAAGGGCTAAGCGAACTAAGCATGACCTTGAGACTTATTCTCTAGCAGCCAACTGTATGCGGCGAGCTATTTCGTAGAACATGTTTGCAATGTCAGTCCGTGCATGTCTTTTACATCATCTTTCAATATCTAAGGAAAAAATTTATTTTAAGCTCTAGTTTTGTCTTAAGTAGAAAAGGTGAATAGAAAAGAAACTTGAGAAAACGAAATGGGTAAGCAAGAGAAGAAGCAAGTCAAAATTTTGCATGGCTTGAAAATAAGTAAAAAAATATCAACATTAACTAGTCCTATGGCTACAGCAGCAGAGCTGACTATCATGTTAAACAATAATCCCAGCTCACATTTGAACAGGTATTATAATGAACTGATCAATTGGTCCAGGCAACCAAAGTGAAAAGAGACCCCTGGCAAGTATAACTGCTATAACTTAAATATTATAAGATTGTTCAACCAATCAGATTCAGGGCACACTTTCCCATCAGTATTTCATCAATACTCCATGAAACACAATTTAAAGATAATGCAAAGTCAGTTTTTGTGAGAACTGACTTTGCATTACAAAACAGACTGCAATACAGCTGTATAAAATGCCTTGATGAACAATAATTCTTTATATTCTACTGGAAAGATAATAACAAAGAAAAAAGCTAGCCAAAACAAGTTTTAAAAACATAGACTTACATCATTTATAATTCTGTGTTGTTGTATGGTGCGCTTTCCCTCAAATTCTGACGACTCCACTAATATTCTGTACATGGAACCACAGCCACCTAAAGTGCAGAAGTAGTGTTACAAACCTTTTGATTTAAACTGCTGTCCAAACATACTGCAGATTCAAATGCGAAAAAGCATGTTAAATGCCTAGCTCCCTACAAACCCCCCCTAAAAGGTCAGGTACATTGCTTGACAGTTTTGAGAGGGGACAAGTTGAGTCAAGTCTCCGAGTCCAAACCTTGAAGTAATTTTGTGTAGAAAAATTATAAGATTTTTACATTTGCTGAAAACAGTTACAGCCATAATCAATAAAATGCTAAATTTCAAACAGTGGATGCCTGTTGGTAAAATGCCTCTACCAATCATGCAGATCTCAAAACAATGACAGTGAATAGTCTAAGAAACTTGTGAGAGACCAACTTTGCAGTTTACATCAATAGAGTGTATTCTATGGTGAAATTAAAAAAATATATGGTTAATTCATAGCATGCCTGATATGTCTTCTACTTCAATTTTTGAAGCATTGAGATTTGATTTAATCTTTTCAGCTATCCGTCTTTCTTCTTCATTTCGGGCAATAACATTGGCATAGAATGCTTTCTGGCTTTTCAAAATCAAACATTCAACCTATATAGTGATAATAAACTACAATTTTATAAATATGTAGACTAAAGTATCCTAACATCAACTAAGGAAGGTCAGTTTTTATCAAATTAGTAAAATAATTGAAGGGGGAAGAACATCCATGCTTTAACTTTGTTCATCTTTAATCCATAAGCATTGCCAATCAGGCCCAATTACAAAGATATACCTGATTTAAAACATCATATGAATAAATTTCAAACGTTTCTGGTTGAATATTACCACAACAAAAGACAAGGCATTGAACTGGCTTCATATTACAGCAAAGCTATTTTGAGGCCTATTTTACCCACACCAAAAAATCTAATTTTTTAGCTGTTCAAAATTCAGTTACATACACCTAAGCCAAGCACGACAGGTGAGGTAGCCAACTCCAGGACCTTGACAGTCTGAGTCTGACTTCGGAATGCAATCCAGAAAACGCGATTAAGATCAATAGACAGGGCAAGATTGAAAGTTTGCCAAACTTGTAGATAAAGACGAGAGTGCTCATATGGAGATAGGCAAGCGTTGATGTGTAAAAGCGAAGCAAAAAAATCTTTTGCTCAAGACAAATTATGTAATCTAACTGACAGGACAACTGGACAAGTCCCTTCAGACAAAACATATTTGTATCTTTAAAAGTCAGAAACAACTTGTCGTGCACAAACCTCTTTCTTATATAATCCCAAACGATATTGTTGTTTAAATGGTAAAACTCGCCAAGTATTAAAATAAAACTTCCCCAGTAATGTCGCCATTCGATATGAAATTTTGAAGTACAATTATACTTCTTTCCTCTCGCGCAATTGCCTTTGCTAGCCTGCGTAAAGGCACAATCAGGGGCATTTTTACAACATTTGAACAAATTGACTGACACAATGATTTGACGTTTTACAATTAGTGTCGTCGGTGAATATAATATCGCCATAACGTTTATGAACAATAGACAGAAAATTAATAATTTTTATGGTGATTTTAATTGTGTTACCAATATCCCTATATGCACACATCCCTATATGCTCACGAAATGCTTTGTCACTTGATTTGGAGTTAACTTGAGTTTTCCTAGAGATTTTTCTCAAGTCGAGAGTTTCAGAAAACAGTATATGCCATTTTGATTTGCTGGTTACCAATCGTAACGAATGCAGTCACTTAAAACATATTTTTAAAATTCTTCATTTGATTAGTTTATTATTGATATAGAGCTCGCCTATTGATTAACTCAAAGTTCAGGTAGATCTTCTCTTGTTGAAGTTGCCGGGGACATCAATTCTAGATATTAATATCAAGTCAAGTTGACAAGATCTACTACTTAATATACAGGGTTGATGTCGGCCAATCAGCGAACACTTATATTAAGAAATACGCATCGCTAAAGTAATGCTAAAAATTAATATTTTCCTTTCGAGTTACAAAAACTTGTATCAAATAGGAAATAGGTCCCTGCATGTTGTAATGAATTAAAAAACATAGAGAGCTGAAACGCACTGAAAAAATTTCTATTATTGATCTTGAAAAATACATCCTGTCGTGTTTTCTCAACCTCCTTCTCGTGATTCATACTTCCTAAGAGGCTGAATACATGATCCCACGGCCAACCGATATTCAGCGAGGCGTGAGAGAATTTGAGGCATTACAAAAAGTAAAAACTGCAAGCAAGTTACAATTATTGTGAAAAAAGTATAGTACAAGTAAAGTAGAGTATGCGGTGAAAGTGCAGGGAAGGAGGAATTCTCTCAATACCTAGACATTCAAGAGAGCAACGTCGTAAAGAGAGATAACGATGGCAAATGGATGTAGTATCCACAGGCGACAGGAGGGGGTGATATTATACGTTTTGATAGCAGTGAAAGTATAGAATATATGATCGTGTGTCTTTTGCATTTCATGTGCCAGAAGAAGAGATATTTAAGACCAATGATTTGGAAAAACATTCTCATAAAATCAAGTTATTTAATTGAGCGTTCTAGTCTTTTAAAGCGTGCATGCTTTCTCACGTTTCTACTCTAAAGATTGACTTTAATTTAACCCAAAAGAAAATGTTGTATCTAAAACTCTAAGTTTGTAGCCATAATTCAGTTAAGGATTTTACAGTGATTGTTTGATAAATTGTAAACGAAAGCATATAGGCTGATTTCCATCGATATCGCATAGTTTGAGATGTAAATTTTCAAAACGTGACATAGACATCTACAATTGGCATCAATATTTTAGTGAATACCAATCACAATACATTACATTGAATCAATTCCCGATCTTATTGACTAGCTGGTTCATTGTGGATATTTCGTGGCCACTAATACCGTAGTTGTGTTCCGTTTAAACACAACTACGGTATTATGACCGAGAGCGCATAAATTTACACAGGTTCTTTCTTATACATCAAATTGTTCCAGAAATATATGCTAATTTTTAAACACTATATCTACAATCTGATTTGCATATTTGAAGAAAGCCGTTTTGTTTCAGTAAAGATGAAACACGCAGAAGGGCAAGTTGCAACTTGATCCGTATTGTGTAAGTTGCACAGTACGCATTGAAAATGCGTACTGTGTCTAAACCGAGGACACGTTTGGGAGCACTAGAGATCAAATCAGTGCAAGTCGACCGCAGGTGGAGAGTTTTCACAAACATGTCCGAGGTTTGCGTATGCCAGTGCAAACATAAAATCTTTGATTTCTTTTATAAAGCAATGCTAATGCGAAACAAATGTGTTTGTATTTCAACGAGCATTGATGATTGATTCGTGAATTCTATTTCAGATCAGATCGGCCTGCACAAGCTAATGCAAACACAACGAAAGACCAATCAACGCACGGGTTGTATTGTTTATATTTTAGGAAAATAAATTATGCAATCCAACATATGACTTTATAGTTGAAAAAATTTCAACTACATTGTGCGTGTTATTATATCAGACTTCTTAGAAAATGATATCGTATATTACTTCCGTGTAGGCAAATGTCAATATAAACGCTTCTGTAGACCAATGAAAAACGTTCATGTGGCGCTAAGCAATGATTGTCAGTAGGGAGAAAATACGAAACTATTATTTTTCGTTCGGAGTTAAATGTCTTGAAAAAAAAACTTGTATTAAATAAGATTACATCGGTGCAAGTATTAATAAATTTAAAATGTGTGAGAGGAAAAACATTGTGAAAGACTTTTAAAAGAATTAGTCAGTACATCCTATAGTTCATAAAATTTTCTCTTTTTCTCTCCACCACACTCCTCGAGGATCATATTTTAAGGATGCACGTAACTTGTTTAGGAATTGTATTAACACAAGAGCCTTGAACATTGTGAAATAGTTTAGACATGGCAATGTCGCAGAAAGAATGGATTGACGGTATGTGCAACAGTGGTGGTAAAGAACGCATTTGCCCAAAACGACACGTACAACAAAAAGAGTGGAAGAATCCTGAATGGAATCAAGGATTCGATGGAAAGTGGAAGTACAACTACATATCAGACTACGAATGCCCTTTTCCTTATGACAACCATATGCCAATTCTCGACGAGCTTAGCGAAAATGGATTGAATATTTTGCAGTCTGACAAACAGCAAGGATATCCAATCGCAATCAAAATCTGGTTCATTGCACAGATAATAAAGATGGTATAATTACCTCTCACGGCTTTATAGGCGGCAAAAAAAAGATCAACGAGACTAACGACGAGGACGTCTATGCTCATCTGTCTTGGTGGGCTCCACCATTGAAGACGATGATGTCACAGGTTTGCAAGATCACATGGGAAATTGTTTCTTGAAAGTCTTTGATCACGATAACAACATAACAATAGACATCAAAGACCAGTTTGGAATCTCCTATGCATTTGACGTGTATTCTAAGAACAGACAAGGCAAAAAATGCAGCCGTTACTTTCAATATTCACTGGACGATTTGCTTAATAATTATCAAGATTACATTGGCGATGAAAACATTGAGTTTAGAATATTGGGAACCTTTGCTTACACAACAAAAGTAGAATACAACGTTCTAGTATGCAGTGAAAGAGCAGGTAAGAATGAATTTGCTGAATACCCTCGTACCGCAAGAAAACAACGTCGTAACGAGAGATAACGAAGGCAAATTTTGGTGGTATCCACAGGCTACGGGAAACGAAATCAAGCGTTTTGATTGCAGTAAATATCCCATGTATAGACGTTATGATTGTGTGTCTTTTGCCTTTCATGTGCCAGAAGGAGAGATATTTTATATCGATAACTTGGAAACACATTTACATAAAATATAATAGGAGCTTTTCAGTGATTTAAAGCAAGCTTCCTCTTTTACGCAAATATAACAAAAATTGAGAAATCAGTTGAGCAAAACCTTAATGATATGAGAATATTTTCAAGCGACGCACGAATTACTAAAGTTAATCATCATTTGTAATAAAGGTCGATCTCTTAAAATAAAAATTGTAGACGTCAACTCCTCAAAAGCGTACGTTATATTTTCTTTTGACCGAGAAAACACATCATATGTATAATGTTTGTAAATATTGTTACTACACACTTGGTGTTTTATAATGTGTAGAAGCATCGCACGCAGTGGATGAAATCTCAGTGACAAAGATCAACTCAGACCGCCACACCGGCATTTTATAAACAACACATGATTTCCATATAATGTATGGACTGCTTAACTTACACCAGGAACTTCAAGCGATTATTTCAATAATTTGCTTTGATTTTGCTTTTTGTTTGATAGTTTGTACTATCTTTTTTACAAAATTTCCAAATTAATGAACGCGCACCAGGATCCAAGAAACATTGATCGGTTTGTATACATACAAAACAAACCATATGCGTTCACTTTCACTTTTATGCTGCAACGTCATTTTAACATTCTAGCAGGGGCGTAGGAAGCATGTTGAGTTACGGGAGAAGGCATAAGCTTCTAGGGCATTTCCCTAGTGAAAAGGGCAGTTTTAACAAATTCTTTTGCAAATCCATGAAGCTGTTTTTGATCGACACCGTATGATTTCAAAAGTAAATTATTACAACTCAAAATGACAGGGACTTCTAGGATTTGTCTAGGAAAAGCAATATCTCAGTCATTGAATCAACTGGCTTTCGTTTTCCGCTTACTTCAGACATACAATTTGTAACGCACGAACACATGTAACTTTAATATTAAAGAAGTACATGGGTTAAATATTCTGTTCTAATGGATCTTAAATATCATCATGCTCAAAAAGTATGCTAAGTTAGCCATGCAGCGTCTGTTATTTAACATACGAACAAAACAAACCATTTGCGTTCATTTTCACTTTCGCTTTTATGTTGCCACGATATTGAACATGCTGCAAACACAAAACAGTGCAACTTTTCATATTAGTATTAATTTCCAAGAAAGCTGGTCAAGACGGCAAGATCATCGCATTAAAATTGAAATTGTTAGAATTTCATAGCTGCAAATACTAATGTTATTTATCACATCTCGTCTAAAATCATTAGCATAAATATTTAAACTTATAGGAAATTTGAAAATTTACATTTTATATAGTATAAGAGTCAAGACCTTCTAGCAAAAGTAATTTGGAATTTTATATCAACGGAAAAAGATTACCCTATGTATGAAACACAATATTTCCAAACGCAATTTCTGATTTAAAATTTTACTCAAAGGATGGACAAGCCAAGGAGAAACCGACAAACCACCTGCTTTAAAAGTCGCATAATGAATTGAACCAATCATAAGAATTGGAATCATTAGTTATTTAACGTATATAGACGCTTTATATTTAAGTCGAGTTTCCTTCCATTGAAAATAAAACTTCTAGACAGTTTCGATCCTGAGAAACTACAAGATCGCTGGAAGAAGCTACTGTCCAAATTTTGGGAAAGCTTCAATGGAAAGCTAGGTAGGAAAACCATGCTAAACAAAAAATATTGTTGACCAATTGTTTCGTCGAGGAAAATAGCAACGTTTTAAAAATTTAGGAATAACAGAGAACAAGAGATGACAAAAAGCATTAATTTGGTTGAGGATGCGATTGTATATAGATATAAATATATTGTTAACCAATGAAATACCCAACAACAGTAGAACTTCGAATGCCATTCAAAGTAATAATAAGCACAAAATTTTAAACAGAGTGTTTGTTGTTAAACATGACAGAGAGTACAACAGCTTGAATACGGTGAAATTTGCCAAATCTTCTGAAAGATTCTAAAGGCAAGAAAGAAGTTTTTTCATTTACAGCAACATTTGATGTTTCACGCAGGAAACTTAAAACTATCCTTACAACAATAAAAATTAAAATCCTTTTTTTCCAATCGTACATGCACGCAAAAGCAAATCGATGCGTGATGAAGACCAATTTCAGCGCTATTAAACATTACAAAAACCCCTCTAATATACAAATATTGTGTAACATCGTCATAATAACACACAAATATGAATATGTGTACGTATATATGTATGTATATTCAACAACTAAAAGTCGTTTTATGTCCTACAATATTCGAATAGAAACTGGTGTCTAATGGTGTAATTTTGATATCACTGGGGTTTGGGCATGGAGTTTAGATTAAAATTGCAAAAAGTTATTTAAAAGTACTCAGGATTAAGATAATTTTAAGAGTTTCTTATTGTAGTAAGCGGTTGTTGCGTTATTTGCATGACTATTTAATCCTGTGGAGCTATTCTATAGCAATTCTTTACATGTATTAAAAATTTAAATTGATAGAAATTAAAGTATTTGATTTACTATATAATTGTAGCATTCATACATGACGATTGTGTTATTTTACTGCAACCCTATGAGAAAGCAATAACTGGCCTATATCTATTGCTCGTGAAATAATTTCGAGGATTACTCAATTTCAAAGGTATGTTCCGGTAACAATATAATTTATACTATGAACGATCCAAGAGCATTTTACGCGATTTCCTTTGAAGTTTTTTTAAAAAAATTCAAGTAAATAAAGCTTTCATTGCACTATGAGAAAACAGACTCATTCGCAATAATCGCCGAAAATTAAGATCACCCAAACAGAAAACTAAACAGTAAACAGCAACAAAACAAACCAGCTCAAAGATAAAAGTCTCGGTAAAGAACTAAATGACGTCTGACATAAGAAGTGCATGTCAACGTAACAAAGACAAATAAATTCCATTCATTAACCTAATTAACGACAATATTTCTGCTTCTAGAAACTCGGTAACATTCTGACGACTCTAAAAAGTCCCTCCATGACTCTAACTTAAAAATTGTAAGGAAATTGTTACGATTATAGTCGTTTAATTTGAGGTATGTCTATAGTCCTAATGTGCATAATAGTTGCCGCTTTACAGTTGATTTCACACAAATTTTGCCAAATTTTCTGAGGTTGGTTGCTGAGTTGCAAGGTTTACACCAGTGAATTTCCGATAGTGGCAACAAAATTCATATTAATTTCCAAACTTCAAAACAATCTTGCAAACTTGTACATGTCCATGTACACTCCACAAATACGAGTACCTTTTACATTTACAACCACACTCACCACAGAGTCATACTAAACATGAAAGTCACAGGTTTCATTATCGTTATAAATATATTATATTAAATTATTATAGCCTATATATCGTTTTCCAGAATACAACATTAAAAAATAAGATCTAGAGCTGTTTCGTCTTGTCCCCAAATAAAAAATCGTCATGTAAAGTTAAGGAAAACTGACGTCATAACACAAATTTGAACAACACAAATTACTTTCGTAACTTATATGAGCATCATTCTGAGATTGATACGTTCGCTACGGTTATTTGAATGAACATGGTTGTAAAGTCATAAACTCGAGTTACGTCAAACTAACGATGAATTTGATGTTATTGTCTGCTTTTTAAAGGTTTGCCGTTATTGAAAGCAGAGACGTTTCTGCGCATGACTTCTTTACAATGAAAAGAAAGCACGGCACAATGAAAAAGTGGTTAATTGGGGAAAAAAATGAGAAAGGTGAAGAACTAATTTGCCTAGAGAGACATGTGACCCAAGCAGAATGGTGTCCTACTTTGACCAAAGACTTACGAAGCAAGAAAAAACGTCGTTATGACTATATTTCTGATTATGAATGTCCTTTTCCTCATCCCATCAATATGACAAAATTATGGAAAAAAGGCGTTTGTCAAACGCAGTGGAACGCCTTGCAGAAAGCAAAACAGCAAGGCTATGGTATTCCCATTGAGAAATTGGCGCATTTCACGAGTGAAAACATTTCGAATTCGATCATTGAAGACGGAGGTTTTCAAGCTCAAGAGAAGAAAATAAACATGAAAAGAAAGCGAGATGTGATTGCCAACCTGTCATGGTGGAGTCCAGTTTTCCCTGACGATGTCCCCGAAAAGCTACAAGACCACTTAATTAAACACTTGTCCAAGTTTGCTGAGACAGGGGTGGACCATTTTGATAGCATAAGAAGTCAGTTTGCAACATCCCAAGCGTTTCGAACAAGAAAAAAATGCCATAGGAAATGTTACTTTCAATTTCCCATCCAATCAATTTTACGTCACTATAGAAATTACATAGGACTGGAAAACGATGTCCAGTTCAGCATCCTTGGGACCTTCCTCTACGAAAAAGAAATAATGCACGCCGTCCTAGTATGGAGCAAAGCAATAGAAGGTCATGAGCAATTTTCCAGATATCCAGTAATACCAGAGAAAGAGAGCATCATAACAAGAGATGATAATGGTCGTTGGATGGTATCCACAGGCAACGACCAGAAAGAAAATCAAACGATTCAAAAGATTCTCCAAAATTGATGAGGATGATGTAGAGCATGCTCTCTGGGAAAACGTGGCTTTTGCATTCTATCTGCGTCCAAACGACGTGTTTAAAATCGATTTAAAAGGGCAATTGTGCACTTTATAATAATCTCTTTTTCAAAAAGGATAGTAGATAACAAATACCGAGTTGTTAATTTATTTCTTCCAAATACGATAGAATTGTGTGATTTTTGACGCACAGAAACATATCACAGTATTAATAAATTAGTAATGGACGTAATGCCAGAGTTCCTATACGACTGTGTACGAAGGTGAGAAATTAAAAACGAATGGTAGCCAGTATGGTAATCTCATAAGCGTCACACTCAGAGTTTGAAAGAAATCATTAAAACCATGATCGAAATTAAAACAAAAGAACTTTTTGCAATGAATCAAGAGCAAATGGTGTGTTTTCATGACTTGAAAACTGCTATGTTGGTAGATTACTTCAAACTACTCACTTTAACCCTTTAGCACAATAGTTATTTTTGCAATAAAGGTTTAAAATACAATTTCAACTAAACTTTTGAAAAGAAAGTACCGGTACTGAGAAAAATGTTTGAACTCGAGCACTTTCAAGCACATCTTATTGAATTGAAGTACTTTTAAGGCTTTGAATTTTTCAACTTAAATTCAAGGACATTCACGTTCTGTACTAACCCATCTAAGACAAAGAAATTGAAAAAAAATCATTTTCTTGGGTCCTTCTTCTTACATGTGTATTGATATGCTTGCAGTTAAGTCAATTGCAAAGATCAGGTAAGAACTATAATATCAAGTTATTTGCTAGCACTCAGAATTTTCAAAGTACAAAAGGGCTATGAGTAAGCACAGTAGGGTTCTTGGGAGGAAGAGAATTTCATTATTGAATCGCAACAAACATTGTAATAGTATGTTTTACAATTCCCAGTTATAAATTTCAAATGCTTTGAGTATAATTATTGTTTAAATTTATGAAGTCACATTCAAAACATTGCTTTCACATGTAAAAATTTCACACTTTTGACAAACAAAAGAATTGCAACTTTAATGTACATGTCGAGAAATGTGTCATGACAGTAATGTTGTATAATTAAGTGTATATCTTAGAAGATGATTAGGTAATGTTGTGTATTGAAGTGTATATCTTAAACGATGACTTGGTTAAGTGCTAAACATTACACTTGAATGGGTTTTACTTCAAGACACCTCATTCTAGTTTGGCTTTTGTCATTAAAAACAAATTGACATCCCTTCTATCAATGTGAATCAAAAAAAATTTTCCATCTAGTCCTTTTCATACAGAAACTCAAACATCAAACCTAATGATGTCAACAATATAAAATATGAACATCAACCAGAAAAAACTATATGTGGTTTTCTTACCATATTTCCGCAGAAACAAGAAAAATGACATTGATAATGCCAACAACATGGCAACAGCACCAACAATTTCTTTGGTATAAGACTCTCCTGTGTTGTTCATTGCCTCGATTGTGTAAGGAAACGAGGCTCTGTATACTAAAATCAATAAAACTGAATATTTAAAACTTTAAGCATCCTGTGTATGAACTTTGAACTATTTTGATCTCTCCCACAAAAAGGCAAAATATTTTGGCGTTTTCAAGTGAAAGAGAATTTAAATTGATCAGATAAAATATCAACAACTTACTGGCAATTTTGTCTTCTTTACTAAGTTCAGTCCATGGTTTTTTCTCTTTTCCTGCAAGAAATCCATCAACTTCATATCTGTGCATTTTAATAGGACTGTAGTGCTCCAGTCTAGGTGGAGTCGAAATCGCCACTTCTTTATACCATCACAGAACCACCCAGCAGTCACCAATCTCGTTTACCTGGCATTCTTTATACAAAAATATTCCATTTACAGCAAACAAAATTTTAACTCATCATATCATACAATAAAACTTGATCCCACTGCCTTACATTCCACCCTTAATGGTGTTTGTGCCAACAACAACCGTTCCTTTCTATTTGTGGAAAGAAATATTGTTTTCTTTACAAAAGCGCACCCAGACAGGTTTGCTTATTTTAACTTAATTTTAATAATAGCAGTAAGATTGATTTGATCTTTTGTTACAATGTTTCATCATTTAAGACAGAAGCAGTCGTTTTCAGGTTGTATTCGCATGATAGGGCAGGCGAAATTTTGGTCTTTCGTTTTTGTTCTTACTTTCTCTTGTTCAGGGCATTGCTTGTTCTTATTTGGCACGTTTGTTTCTTTCTTATCATTGAGTACTGAAATCTCCATCTTAAAATGATCAAAGTCCCGGGAAGTGCGAGAGAAAAGGGTTCGTGTGATGGAAAGACGATGTAAGGAAGAAGGGTAAAAAACGTATTTTCCAATGAAGACACGTTCAGCAAAACAAGTGATAGAATCCCGAATGGAATTAGGGATTCAATGGAATGTGGAAACACATCCTACATCTCAGATTACAAATCCTTTTTTCTTATCCAGATGACAGTGACAGCCAAATCTCAGCAAACTTCCTCAAGACAAACAGAAGTTTTGCTGGATGCCAAACAGTGAAGATATCAAATCCATGTCAAAAATCTGGTACATTGCACATTAAGCAAGGACGGCATAATTGGATCTAAATAGTTTAAAGACGGGACAGAGATGATTAACGAGAGGCACGTTGAGTAGGACGAAACGTATAGCTATCTTTGTTGGTGTAGACCAATATTCCTTGCAAAATTGCCCAAAATTTGCAATATCATATGAGATATTGTTTCTTAGAAGCTATTGATCTCAGAATACTTAGTTCAAACGAACGAATAGTTTTGGATTCTGCCAAACAGCAAGGATATGCAATCTTAATAAAAAACCTAGCACATCACACAAGTAAAGAAGCTGATATAATTAGATCGAAAGGATTTCTGGGCGGAAAAAAGAAGATTAACGAGACCAGTGATCAGAGCGTATATGCTTATCTCTCTTGGTGGAGTCCAATATTCGACGAAAATACTGTCCGTAATCTGCAAGATCACATGAAAAATTGTTTCTTGGAAGTGACTAATCTGCATGACATAGATGTGATTAAGAATCAGTTTGGAACATCTGATGCATTCTTGCCATATATTATTCGCATTCAAGGTCAAAAATGTTCCCATAGCTTTATTTACTCAATTGATTAGCTAATTGAGTCATATCAAGAACATGTTGGCAGGGCATAGAAAATCGAGTTTAGAATATTGGGAACTTTTGCATATACGGTAAAAGTAATGCACACCGTTCTAGTATGCAGTGAAAGCGCAGAGAAGGATGAATTTTCAAAATACGCACTTATACCGCAAAGAAACAGCGTCGTGACGAGAGATAACGAAGGAATATGGATGTGGTATCCACCGGCGACAGGAACAAAATAAAGCGTTTTAATAGCAGGAAGATTTTCCTAAGAATTGTCTAAGAATTTTCT